TGGGTGGTGTGATGTTAACAAACAAGGGGAAAACAAAACATAACATAACATTAGGGTGGGTGGTAAATTTTCCTGGTATAGCTGGTATGTACAATCGTAGCGTAGAACCTCGGCAGTGTGGATTGTTGCGTTGTTATACATTTGTTTGTTTGGGTGTGTGGGTCTATAGCCTTTGTAAGGGTGTGTTCCCCTCCCTTAACAGTAGCATAGTCTATGTCCTATTGTCATCACGCTTTGGGGTGTTTGTGCTTTGTATGAGTAGTTTGTGCTCCTATAACTCTGCTCGTGAGGTGGGGGGGATCTGGTCTGAGATGTGAGGTCTCCTCTACGTATGAATGTTAACCAAGGTGACCAAGTGGCCATGTAGTCGTGGTATTTGAGTGAGAAGGAGTACGCTAGTTCCTCCATTTCTCTGATAGCGTCTACCCTTTCTATCCAGGCTCTGATCGTTGGGGGTGCGGTTTGCTTCCATTTGGTTGGGATGATGGCGTTTGCTGCCGTTAAAAGGTGGTTGATCAGTGTGCGTGAGTGTTTGGGTAGGGGGCTGGGGTACAATAAAAACAACAAGACTTTAGGGCCTTGGGGTAGTTTGTGTCCCATGATAGTGTGAATGACGTTCGTTATCTGGGCCCAGAATTTACTTATTATTGGGCATTGCCACCAGATGTGGCTTGTGGTTCCCTCCGCTCTATTGCACCTCCAGCACGTGTTTGGTGCGTTGGGGAAGAATCTGTGGATGCGGGTTGGTGTGTAGTGCCATCTGGCTATTCGTTTGTAATTGCTCTCATGTGTGCTGTTGCTTTTAGATGTGCAGAAGATATTGGTGAATATTCTATACCACTCTTTGGCTTGTATTTGTATCCCCAGCTCTGCTTCCCACTTGGATGTGTAGGTAGGTAGGAGTTCTTCTTTTCGCCAGCACAATTGTTTATAAAAGGAGGATATGTGACCCCTCCGGATGTTGTGTTGTGCGCATTGGGTCTCGTATAGAGTGTGGGTTCTATGGCCTTGTGATAGTGGTGGGTTTGAGTTCAGAAAATGTTTGAGTTGCGAGTGTCTCAGTCGTGTCATTCCCGTTTGTGATTCAGTGGGTAGTAGTTGTTCAAAGGGAGTGACCCCATGGTCTTTTAGGACATCTCCCAGAGTCAGTGTATGTGCTCGTTTGGGGAAATTTTTAAAAGCCCTGTGGTCCATACCTGGGGGGAAGGAGGGGTTTCCTGTTAGTGGGTAGAGTGGTGAAGGATGTGCAGTTTGTGTATTTCTATGTCACTTACATGAATGACCCCAAAAGGTTTCTTGTCCAGGCCACACAGCCAAACCATCAGTCAAGACATTAGACATTTACGGTTTCTCTTCCAATGCAAAGCTAGACTAATAGCATTCCTTGAGGACTGGGTATAGACGCACCTAGGCCATATTACCCCACTCTACAGTCGTAACACAACACGCACATACCAGGTTCGTACTGTAGAAGTGTACAACTGTAAGGTTTGCCCTTTCACTGTGACATTGACCCGACCCAATTAGTAAAGAAAGAACTACAACCAACCTTTTGTCATTTATCGGAGCCAAGGGATTTCTGTGCAGACAACACACAGACTTATTAGCTGCTTGGGCAGATGACTGTGTTTATCCAATAGAGCAGAAAATAAGCTCCAGGTAAAATGTCAAGGGAGGCCAGCGTTCTTCCTGATTATAGTTATCCAGATGTTTCACATTGCTGTGTTAAAGAGCCTTTCATGGGAAGGATGGAAGAATGGAACTGTGTGCGTGCTATGTACTGTAATCCTCAGAGACATGAGCATTATCTGCAGGAAACACAGAATGCTCCTCACGGCTGGATGAGTGTGAGTGGGGATGCAGCCAGGAGTGCGTCTGTTCGGAGACATTTTAGATGACTTGCTATTAATTCATGCAACTAAAATAATGTAATCAGAACAAGAACAGTGCATTTAGTTACACAAATTGTTTTCCAAACCATTGTATTGTAGTTTAAAAGACATGTTACTGGAAGTTTTGTTTCTCTGGAGTTCTGGTATAAATTCAGTAACATCAAGAATACAGAGCTCATTTGGGCTTAAGATAAGGACTATGCCTCAAAAATATTAATATCCAATCACAACTTTTAAAGCCCCCACAGTTTGAAGGTATTATACATTTTCCACCAAAAGGGGGGTGAGGGGGAATCATAATTGACTCCATAATGGCAATCAGATTTCTACTTGGATCAACTACTTGTTCACGTGTTAAAGGAACACTCCAGACCTCAAAGCAATTCAACTTGCTTTAGCAAATGTTTTGCGTGTGTCCACTTTTTTCATTTTACAAGAAGTGCAGATTTCAACAGAAATTGGCACATTTATAAATTAAACTTGTTACACCCCCCCTGGCTGTCAATCAGACAACATGTCCTATTACTTCCTGGTGTGGTTAGCTCAGTGGAACTAAACTCAAGAGGCAGCAATTGCAGAGAGTACCTGCCTTGCAAAGATTTCCTATTGAGCTGCATTCGGAAGCCTGTGATTGGACAGCCACAGAAAGTCTGGACTGGGTAAAAGGGGAGGGCTTGCTAAGGTTTTAATTTAGACAATAGATATGCAGCATTTGCAAGCTGTTTTAGATATACCCCCAACGAATAAAACAAAAGGAACATTTGTAGGCATGCATGTTTTCATTGAGGGTACATCTACTAAATAGCTTTAAAAAATGTTTGTATTTGGGCAGTGGTGTGTTGACTATTCTTTTCTGGACAGATAATTCCATATATTTTTGTTTCTTGTTGCAAAGAAACCTTTCCTCTGCTATAAGCGAAATACCCAAACAACCAGTATCAATGGGTGATCTCTTGTCTGTTGTATATTCCTGTGAACAATAAAATACAAATGCAGTTTTTGTAGCCTAGCTAGTTTTTAAGCCATAACTAATGTTTTCCATGCTCCTTGTTAATTTTGTAGCTTGCCTCTGCCCTTGTTTTAGTTCTTTAATATCCATCTTTGTAACGGGTGTTCAAAATTGTTCCAAATTTTTAAGGTGGATCTGACCATTGGTTTATAAAGAGGCAAAATTAAATTTTTATTACGTAAGTCAATACCCCTTTTTATGCCTGACAGCACCTTACTTGCCTTTGCAATGGCAAATTAACATTGCGCACCTTTGTCTAGTTTGTCATCTATAACTGTTCCCATCTCCTTTTCATTTGATATTATCTCTAACTGAATCCTATTTAAAATATAATTGATTTGTAGGTTCCTTGTTCAAAAATGCACCAGCATTCAAACACCAACACAATACACAAATACACCACTGCATTCAGATGCCAACACTACACACAAATGTACACCACACACAAATGCATATCTGCCTGCAAATTCCAACACTACGTACAAACATACCACTGCATTTAAATGACAACAGTACATACAAATACATTACTACTTTCAAAAACACACATGCTCCATGCAGAAACATGCTTACATACAAGCACACATACACTGCTCACAAATACAAACCTGCAATGATAGGAAAATGGTAGATCTCCACCTGGCAATAGTTAAGGCCTTAGTCTGCAATGGAATTAAACCTACAGATTTGCTTTGAAGATATGGATTGTTAGAGGAACAGAGTATTATGCCATCCAGATATATGGGCAATAGATCAAAAACAATAATCCAAGGCAGTAACCCTCAGGGGCAATTCATGTATCTGTAGATGATTCAGTGGTAAAATATTAGTAAAAAGGAAAAAATGATATAACAAAAGGTAAAATAAGAACAAGAACAATTTATATTTTTGATTAGACAGAACGGCACTGCAGATTGAACTAATGGATATTTTAAAAAATTATGTCTTAATTGGATGAAAGGTCAAGCAACAAAGTCTACTGTCTGAGAAGCTTAGCCAAACGAATGACTGTCAATTTTATTTTTTTAAAGAAATCCGTTCTCAGATTTCTCTGGATAAAAGGTTCATAAAGAAATGTAGTTTCTGAAAGACCAAAAATTAATGTATAACACGTAGGACCATACGAAATGTAACCATATACGTATGTAGTTGGCATTGAATGAATAAACATTACCATAACCTACGTGCAAACCCCCACTAAAGACAGACACCAACGCTGGATGAAACTGGCCACACCATTTATTAAACAAATAAATACTGCATAACACATATACTCTACTTATAGATATAACAAACATTTCAATAAAAGTAACACATACATAACACAGTGTCATACAGTATATATAACCTAAATAACTTTAATTAAAAAGTCCTTGCCAACGTAACTGATCTACTGCATAAGATCACCCGCCCCCCTCCCCCCACCCAAACGGGTCTCACACCCCCCCCTCTCATCATACTAACATTTCCTCTTTAACCTTTTAATGCTAACCACCAGCTGGCATTTAGCACAGTGGGGCACATCCAAATTGGTAAAAATGCAGTTTACCATAAAACTGCAATGCATAAGTAAAAGTTGTGGTTGTCACCACAAATATTGATAAGTTTACCATAAAACACAGGAGAGGTGGAGACCTGACCATTACCCACGCTATCACTCTATCTGTAAACTGTTTTCAAACCTGATTGTCAAGGTTAAGCCCCTCCCGCCACAACCCCGCAATTTTAAACCTAAAATCAGCGTGGGTCCCCACCCACTCAGCCTAAGGCCTGCTCCACCACCTCCTGGATAGCAAGATTAAAGAGGTTGAGTCTGAAATCGGTCAGATGGACCCATCAGTGTGAAACAAATTCTAATCCTTCTCAAAAAATCCAATGACGACCCAGGATCCCCTTGAATGTTTCAAAACAGAGTGCCTATCCTTCCACAAGGTTTCCTTCTTAATGAAACAAATTGAGTCAAGTAATATTTAGTGATATTTTCTGATGATTATATCTGAGATACACAGAGTCATAGAACTGTGTGTGTAGGCCAGAGGGTAATTGCAATCTAAGTAATCCTCAAAAATAAATTACAGGGCTTTGCTAAGAATGGATTAGCCGAGGATAGGTTGTACCACTAGGGAAACAATTAGTTTTGCGAATGTTTTATTATGCAATTGGCAAATGACCTCTTTTCATGCTAAATAGTTTAGGACTGGGTGTAACATTTTCAGGTCTGAGCCACTTTACTCTAAAACCTTTGGATACTCAGAACAAGGGTGATACTCATTCAAAGTAAGCAATGATTCAATGAGGATCATCAGAAATGCCTGTTACACTATGAAGCAAAAAAATTAAAACAGACTCCAAGAAGGCTAAAACTATATAGAGTGCATAAAAAAAAACCAAACAAACAAAAATCTTAATTACGAGGGAAATGAAAAACCAAAAAAACAAACCTGCATTAACTTTGAAGTTCAAGAATAATTTTTGATAAATTGAAAAATGAAACAAGACGTAAACTGCAATACAGCGCCTAACTGTTGCGTTTTAAACACTCTTCAGTTACATGTTTTCTGCTTCAACTTTAAAGCTTATAAAATATAAACCAAAAATGCCCATTTTAAAGACATTGTAGCTCATATCCCCATGACAAACCTGAAGACCCTCTGATTCAACTTCTTCTGAGCACTCTGACAATTCTGAGCAATACCCTCCGACCATAAGAGGCGGACATCAGGGAATAAGAGCAATAGCTGGGACAAATCCTGTTTAATCGTGTCCACCAAACCCCAGACCAGCATCATCCCCAGGTCATCCCCACTCCCTGAGGCTTACCTTGGCCAGCAAGAGGGGAACCTGATCCCTGGTGGTCCAGTGGGAGATCTAAATCTAATCTAAAAAGTGAAGTGATCATATAGTGCTAGGAATACATGTTTGTATTCCTAACAATGTAGGGTTCCTTTAGTTAGTCTATTTATTAAAAACACAAAATGAGAGAGTATTGAAAGTTAATTAGGAAGAATTACTTTTTTGAATGAGACACAGAGGTGTAGCAATAAGAAAGGGATGGAAGCGGAGAAAGTGGATGAAAGAAAGATAAAAAAAAGGTTTAGGTAAAATAAAATGAGCAGAGAGGAGGTGAATGCATTATTAAGTGTCATGTAGGTCATCCAATCCATTGTCTGTTTCTCCATGTGGCGTATTTTCCATGTTTCTTTTTATTGTACGGACAATTAAAGGACCCTCATCATGCAAAGGGTAATATGTGAAGCACTATCCTGGCCATAAGTGCCTACTTAACAATAATGCATAGCCTCAGTAAAATTAGTTGCAGAACTAGTTCACAGAATATGGTACAATAAATGTTTTGGATACCACTCCAAAGATAAACTAGATTTAGGTTTAGGAGAATGACGTCACAGAGGAAGGGGACTTGTTGCACCCTTACCAATGCAGGAATATATGGTGTCCCTTTAAAGGTGGTACATAGGCACTCTAACCGCTTCATTTCAGTGAAGTGGTTTGGGTGCCATATTCTTCTAGTTTTAACCCTGCAATATTTACATTGCAGGGTTTAAAAGGACACTAGAGGTGCTTCCACAGAAATAGCCAAGTAAAACTCTGCGATTTCTTTTAGATGGTCTCATAGAGGCGGACATAAATACTGCATACTGCAGGGCAACCTTTTTGATGTGCTGCTCATAAATATGCCCAAGATGTTCTTAAAACCATGGTATATCTAGTAACCTGAGCTGTGAGAGAGAGGCGAGAGAGAGAGAGAGAGAGAGAGAGAGAGAGAGAGAGAGAGAGAGAGAGAGAGAGAGAGAGAGAGAGAGAGAGAGAGAGAGAGAGAGAAAATTGCAGTGATATCTATATTATTATTTATAAATTATTGATTTTCTCAATCCCTTGAGTGGTATGTTTATTCCTCATTCTCGTGTCCTCTACCAGAGGCCTGGGAGTCTGAGGGTTCTGCACAGTATCTTAGCTGTTCCTGGAACTGCACTCTTCTGGACAGAGATCTCAGATGTCCCACCTGGAATCTGTTTAAGCCACTCCCCCAACTTGGGAGTTACAGCCCCGAACGCTCCTATCACAACTGGGACTACTTCTGTCTTCACTTTCCACATCCTTTCTAGTTCTTCTTTCAGTCCTTTGTTTTTCTCCACCTTCTCATGTTCCTTCTTCATGATGTTAAAGTCACTGGGTATCCACCATGACTGCAGTCTTCCATTACTTGTCTACCCCCACAATGTCGGGCTGGTTGGTCAGCACTTGCTTGTCTGTCTGGATCTTGATGTCCCACAGGATCTTAGCCCTATCATTCTCAACTACCCTTTGTGGTATCTCCCATCTGGACTTTGGCAAGTCCAATCCATATTCTGTGCAGAATGTTTCGGTACACAAGCCCAGCAACTTGGTTGTGTCTTTCTGTGAATGCTGTTCCTGCTAACATCTTGCATCCGGCTACTGGGTGCTGGTCTTGCCTGGTGTGGTAGACTCCAGCTTCTATTGATCTGGTGCTGAGTGCCTTTTCCTGTGCTGCTAGGATTAGTGCCTCAGTGCTGTCTTTCAGTCCTGCCTTTTCCAACCACTAGTAGGATTTTGTCATGTGATCTTGCCATTGAGCTGGGAATTCAGAATCTGTCTGACTCTTTGGAGGTACTTGGATGTTGCTATCATCCTTGCCTCTTCCTCATGGTTTCCATGTGTTTGTACTTGTTCTCTACATCATCTATTGGCCTTCTGGAACTTGAAGTCCTTCTGTCCTGATCATCTTCCCTCTTTTTGCCATCATCCAGTCCAAAACGACATTCCAATTTCCTTCTTTCTAGTTAAGTGGATCGCTTGTTCATGTAGAGTAGGTGGATGACGGTAGCGCCACTCTTGAAAATATCCGTATCTACTCTTGTTGATGATGGCTAAGGGGATTGATGCCTATGCAGAACAGCATTGTAGATAGTGCTCTTATAGTCTTGTTGACCTTGTAGAGAGCAATTTGGATTGTGTCATAGGCTTTCTTGTATTGCACAGATAGGTCTGTCTGGTATTAGAATTACTTGTTGCCTGACAGGAGTTTCCATGTTGTGGGGAAGTTATTGGTCGGTAGTTGAATGGTGTTGTTCCTTCAGATCAGTACTGTTCTGCCATTCAGGGTGAGAGCCTAGTAGCTGGTTCATTATGCTGCTAGGCATTCATGCAGCGTTATTAGCTTTTTTATCCAGTAGGTGTGGATCATGTCAGGTCCTGGGGCTGACCGACTCTACCATGGTGGGCATTGCTTCTCATTGAGCCTGATCTTGTAGGACCACTAATGCTGTGGCATATATGAGCCTGCTGGTCTTTGTGATGGTGTGATTGTGGACAGTGCATTATTAACTGCAGCTATTGTCTGCTGGTAGTTTTCCATTGATCTTTGGTAGTCTTGTCTGCTGGTCAGGAAATTTCTAGGATCATATTTCTTATCTCTCTTGTTATGCCCTTGTTGGGATTCAGGTTGACAACCCAAGTATGGATGTTAGTTTGGGGGATTTTCTTCTTCGGTAGTCCATGTAAACATCAACCATGTGTAATTCCAGCTGTTTTAGGGTTCTCGCACATACATTTCATGTAGCCCCTCTCATAGCGGTCTCCTGTCTAGGTTCTCATTTCGTGTCCAGAAATAGTGTGTTCCAGTAGCAACTTATTGTCAGATTGCCCTGGTTCCCTAGTGTGACGGAGCTCCCTGTACCCCTGGCTGGGTACCTCCGCCAAGGACTCCTTCCTAGCTGGAACAGGGGACAAACCGCAACACTTCTGCCCGCAGTCGCCGTGGCTTGACTGGGGTCCTGAAACCGAATGGGGATTCACTCTAGACACCCCCGGGCACTGGATGACACTCAGTCCTGGGAGCTCTAATCATTATAAGGACTTTCCCCATTGAATCCTTCACACTGGAACAGTGATTAAAGAGTAGCTCTTTCCCCTCCCAGTAATCAGACAACACATAGTTCTGGGAGTACAAGCTGGAACACTTTAATGGCAGCCACAACTGGCCTTATATGCATGTCCACATGCAAGGGGCACTCCCCCCTGGACCTGAGAGTAAACCATAGTAAAAACAAATGCACAATTACATTGGCTCTCAGGTCCAGGACACTTCCATACCAAATCAGCTAATCCCTCCTCTGTGCCTGGGAGATAATTGGATCAGGAACTGTACTAATCTAATCCAATTATCTCCAAGCACAGAAAAACAAACACACTTTTTACCAAACACCCCAAAAGTACCCTAAAAATACATAAAAACCCCACAAAAGTTACACCCCCTGATCTGGGTGACCAGCATATCCAAAAATCACCCAGATCAGTTCAGGGGTTCAGTAATTTCCTGGAAGTCATTTGTTTGACCAACCACACGCATGGTCTCATGCCCAAAACAGTTCCAGAGAATCAAGGTTTGTGGTCGATCTAGTTCAGTATTTAAAAAATGAACAGACTATCGAACACAGACATTAGTTTTACCCTGGAGCTTGTTCTCCTTGTTCATGGGAATGCTTCCACCGAACAGCGTCTTTCTAAGTGTTGTCGATCACACTGAGGTGGAAATTGTTACAAAGTAGCAATTAGGCTTTACAAGCTCCACGGTGGTTTCCAGTTCTTGTAGCTGTTCGGTTCCCGAACCATATAGTACAAATACACAAACTGAGACTTTTCTATGACATTTTGCAAGGTTCATAGTCTGTGGGCAGGAGGCTGGCAAGCAGGCTCCTCCAGGAACTTGTGGCAAACTCACTTGAAAATGGGAATTTGTCACACCTAGCATCAGGCCCTGGGGAGAAAGCACAGCTAAGCGGACAAGGGCACATATATGAGTGTGGAGATAGATGCATGTGATTAGTTGTGAATGTGTGGGTGGTATTATGTGTTGTGTGAGTTAGTGGGGGGTGGTCTTACCTCAGTGCGACTTGGGATTCGGGCCAACAAACAGCTTCCCCCCCGCCCACCCCATTAGTATATTTAGTCTCAGCTAGCCGGGGGTATGTCCTTGCCAATTAAGTTTGAGGTGGCTAAGTTTAAGTATGTGGAATGAAGTGAGCAAGTTTTCAGATCTCAACCTCCCTGTAGGTTACCTGTTATGTAGTGCCCACCGAGCAAGGAAAAGGTCGGCTGGTGGTAAGCATTGGAAGGAAAATGAGTTTATGCCGAGGGGGGAGGTCAGAGGAAGTGGTACATAGGCGCATGGTCAGTTTATTGGCAAGGATGGTTGGGTTCACTGTATGACACTATGTGTTAAGTTATGGTTATTTATGTTTAACGTTTTGGTTACATAAAAGAAAAGATTATTAAAATAAAT